CTCCCCAACCCAGCTTGCTGTGGAAACAGCTTCATGAGTGTCATCTCCTCACTTGTCATCTCTCCAGCAAAACACAAGGCTCAGTTTGAAGTACCAGTGTCTAGCAGTTGCATAGTCTATGGGAGCATGTTACCCAGGTAGGGAGGACCTTGTTGTGCTGGGGGGCGGGGGTAGGGAAGTACAGCAGAGTCAGAGTAAGATGTGCTTGAACATCTTCCTGGGGGAGGGAGAGGTTGCTCAGCTCTCATCTGGCTCTTTGGGCTACTATTCCAATCTCCTGACTAACACCATTTGAGTTACGGCTTTGAAAATGTGGAGTCACGGCACGTCTGAACAAACTCCTTCTTCCGCTTCTTCCCCTCCCTCAGTGTGCCTATTGCTGTATATTATTCAAAACAATTAGGTACAGATGACTTCAAAGCACCTCTGGAATTCTTACCTGACACGGTAGCGCTCCCCCAGCTGTATTTTGAGAGGTTTGCTGAGCCAGAGGTTGTCAGTTCTTGAGTCAGCTGTTGGTCTGGTCTCTAGTGATATACCCCTGTTCCTACTAGCTAAGTCCCTTAACTATTCCTGCTGGGCTGGCCTGTTTCCTCATGGAAAGGCTTGCTAACTTATAGTTGGCCACTGCTCTCATTTTTCATCTCCTTGCCATGAGGGAAGCCAGCCACCTCACGGACTGCTTTCACCCTCGGTCCTTAGTGGAGGCAAAAATTACTGGCTTAAAAACTTGTTTCCCCAGTATAGAAGTTTTCTCTTTCCCAGTCCCCTGGATCCAAACCAGTACAGCTGTATGTCACTGTCCCATCATAACCATTGCATTGGTGCTCAAAATTGTGCGGGGAGGTTAACCCTGGCTCCATAACCTCTTACCTGTGGCAGGCTCTGGTGCAGTCATGCATGAGATGGGTTGGTTTGCTGGCTGACTTGCAGACAAAGACTGGCTGTCTCACCTTGCTGGCTGCTGTTGGTGAAAGTGAGACAAGCTGACCCTCACTGAGTCGTAGAGCTGGGACCCTGATGAGACTGAAGAGTGTGCTGGGATCCCCCTGTGTTGTGGAAGGGGAACACTGAGGGCCTCCAGTTGTTAGGGAGGCAGGACGGAGCCCCTTGTGCTGGCATTCTTCAGGGAAGCCTGATCTGCCACCCACCTGAAGTCAGCATTTTCCAAGGGTCTTTCTCTGAGTGGTGACTGACCAGTGAGTGCCCCTGCGCTGTCTCCCTGCTGAGCTGCTGACTTAGAGTGAGGTGTATTCTGCATGTTCAAACCTGTTAAAACTGCAGCTGTAACATAAAGGAAAAAGGTGACAGATGTGTGTTGTGGAAGTATGTCGTTTCCTGGGCACTGGGGCAGGCAGCCATGTTATCAGCGGTAGCTCTAGGGATAAGTCGGGCCAAGGACCTGGACTGATGCTGCTATAGTCAAAGGAAGTGAAAACCAGAATTAAAACCACCAAAGATTTTACTGATTGGGTCCAGGATTCTCTAACTGTGTCTAGGCCAGCTGGTTCTGGACAGGACAGTGGGTCCTAAACACCTGGGAGGGAAATGAAATCAGCCTAAGCATGTGAGCAACCACTTCTGGGTGGCCTGTACTGAAGTGCATAGATCCTGGCACCTTGAAAATGATGTGGTCAGAGGACTCCCCACCCTCCCTGTGTGGGGCCATTCTCTGTGAGTAGGAGCCTGTGAGACTGCACTAAGTACCACCCTTGCCACAGGCCTCCACTGTGCTGATCCACCAAGGAAGCAGCTTGAGGCAGCTTTCCACACCCCCCACTTTATGCAGCTGTGAATGGGGCCACTCAACCATTGCAAGCTGTGAGTTTTGGAGTAGAACATGTTTCACGCCTGTAACTTTCCTCTATGTGGGGGTGGAGAGCTGCCTTCTGGCATCAGCCAAGGAACTGGGTGGACAAAGGGCTAAAGTCCACTGTCAGTGTGCCTGGGCTCTTTGTTTCCACTGTATAGTAGCAGGAGACAGAGTGGGCCAAGCTGCACTGACCCAAGGCCAGTCAGCTCCCACAGCAGCATGGGTCTCGGAACAGGAAATGTGGAGCCAGGCTGGTAAGCTACCCAGAGGGCTGTTGTACTGTCCCATTGTCAGACACCTTCATCTGTAGTGCTATTCTAAAGTCTCTTCCTACACTTACCTGAACCCTCATATAGGGGCTATAACTGCATCTTCCTGCCCTGCTGTATTTCAGTCCTAGCACTGCTTAGTGAGGTGCTACATGGCATATCTTAGCAAAAAATTATGTGGAGGAGTACATCAACCAAACCAGACATCTCGGGTGCACACAAGCCTTTTTTCTCTACCCTGCCCCTACAAGCTGGGTAGCTGATCTAAGACAAGTTTCCTTGCCTTGTACTGAGCTCCTAAAGTGTCTATTTATGCCAGGCTCTCCTCAGCCACAGTTCAGTATGAGAGGCAAGTAAGCCAGGTCTGCTTGCCAGCTCTTCATGCCTTGAGGCTTGTCCCTATTCTGAACTGCAGTTCAGGGAGGCAGGAGTCACCGAAGGGCAAGCCCCTCCACACTTGCCTGGATCTGTCTCTTGACCTGGAACACTGGCAGGGTGTAAAATGCAAGGTAGGCCCATGCGTTTGCCCTGGGATTAGCATCTAGCCCCTCCTAATGAGCAAGTACAGGCAGGTGCAGGGGCTGGTCATCCAGCAGAGCAGCCTGTAGCTGCACCCTGCCGCTCCCTGAACCATGTCTTTATGAGCTCACCAGTGCCACCTCATCCCTGTCTGGGAGCTGTCAGTGCCAGGAGATTCTAGTTTTGCCTCCCTGCTTGACTGAGAAGTGGATGCAGGGTGGGTAGGCTTCAGCCCTAAACAAGCCTACAGCAGTCCTGGGCTGATGGGGGGCTGATACTCAGCTGAAGGCACTAAAATCTTGTGGATCCTTCCTGATCTAACACCATAGCTACGGGGAACAGATCAAAATAGGTAGCATTGGAAAATTCAGTAGGTCACATCCCGGTTCCTCTTCAGGGCTACTTGGAGCCAGCCTGTAACTGAATTGATTAGAAACTGACAGAAGTGTCTCAATTTAAACACAGCCTTCCTTTGCTTCACCCACCCTTCCCTGCACTGGACTTGGCTGTCCTTGATCGCTTTGCGAGTGTTCATGTACAAATCACAGCTTGCACAGCACCTGGTGGCCTGGTTTGGCAACCCTGATCCTTATCTCAAGTCAAATAATTTCTTATTCCATTTGGCACTAGACTCCCCTTTTATAGAGGCCAATTGTAGGATTTAATAAGTGACTAAATTCACTGCAGCAAAGCAGGCCTGCTGCCGTCTGGAGGATGAAAGAGGTGGTGGTTAGCTTCCAGGCAGCCAAGACAGTTTGGGGAACAGGACAGTTTTCAGCCCTTATAATCTGAGGATAGGTAAATGTCCCAGGCTGTGTTTGTGAACCAAAGCTGGCCTCGGGCCCAAGCCCTTGGACTTCGCCCCTGCCAGCCAGCGGAACAGAAGGTGTTTCTCCCTGCTGCCCTTGTCCTGTGCTGCTACCCAGGTGTCATTGACTTCCCCTTGGGACAGCTCTGAACAAAGTCGTCCCAGTTGCAGTCATGCTGAAAGGAAATGATCAACAAAAGCAGAAAAAAAGCTTCTGGTTCCAGGTGATTTCAGTGGCTAAGTGGTACATGTTCAGTGTGTGACCAAGCTCCAGACCCTCCCATATGAGAAGGCAGCAGTTAAATAGTTTAGTGTGCTCCACAAGCCCAAGATCCTACATCCAACCTTTCCGCATTTAAGCTGGATAAGTATCAAACTCTGTAACGAGCCCTGGGCAGTCACTGAGGCTTCTCACTGAGCAGGAGATCGGGGAAGAATCTGGATCGAAGTACCCTTGGACAACTTGGGGCATTACTGCCACCCACAGGAGAAAAGTGCTTTCAGCACATTCGATACTGTGCTGCCACAAAGTCCTAAACGTGAGGCTGAGCAGGTCTAACTTGAAAGACTGGTGTTTTCAGAATAGGGTTGTGAGGGCAATACCCCCAGGCCCACTGCCCTGCTCTGGATACAGGCTCCAACTGAGCAAAGGTCATTGTGCGAGAGGCACTGGCATTGCCCAAGAGACGCATCAGACTTCTAACAGCAGCCAAGTTTGGACAGAAAAGAGGAGGCTGCACCACTCTGAGTAATAGCAAAAGCACAAACAACAGGGATGGGTCTGTAAGCCTTGAATTAGAGCCCTTGGGGCTCCACTGTAGTACCTTACACAAGTGTTTCCCAATGTGCAGCGGCACAATAGTGTGCCATCAGAAATGAACAGGTCTGCCATGGAATTTTGCCATGGCAATGAGCTACAATTGAGGATGGGGAGTACCTTGACAGGTGTACTGCAGAAAATCTGTATTAATGTGAGTGTGCCTTGGGCTGGAAAAGGTTGGGAAACACTGGCTTACATACGTAGCTGACTACTGCCCTATGGTTGTCCTGACTGCAGAAGTTGCCTCGTTCCTTCCTACTTAGAAAAGCCTGTAGGACTCGTTGCAAAGGAGTTTGCCAGATTCAAAGGAGATTCTCCAATTCCCCTCCCCTACTGCACTTCACCCCAGCCTTGGCTCAGCTTCTGAGGTTTGTAGAGTAACAAATCATTTGGGAGACATCCAGGGCTTTGTAACAAAGCTATTAAATGGCAGAGCCCTGAAGGAGAAAACAAAAGCATTAGACAACTAAATGAGTCTCCTTTGACTTGGAAGAGAAGTCAACTGGTGTCACACATTTGATGGCGGGGGACTGTGCATATGGATTGCACGAGTCTCGTACTCTGGTAGAGACAGCGTCCAAGTGCATCACCCATGACCTCCAGTGGGTGTACTAGTGCGTCTGCTCAGGTCAGTGACTTAGACTTTACCAGGCTTGTACCAAGGGCACAGTTAGGCTGTGACTGCATAAAGAGAAACAGATTGAAGGTGCTGCTCTCTGAGCAGACTTGATGTCCCTCTTCCTCTAAAGCCAAGCCCCAATTACATTAAACAAAGCAACAGGGAAACAAAGCTGCTGACTCAAGCTCCCAGAAGGAAGTCCTTTCACAGGTGTGCCTCCTAGAAGAACCTGTGTAAGGCTGAAGCTAAAGGCTGCCAGGAGTGTTCAGCAGGACTGGTTCCTGTGGCATCCACAGATGTATGTGCAGTTAAGAGGCTTGAGCCAGTTAGAAGCACTGACACTTGGGACCATCGTGACTCTGACAGTCTCACAGAAGAACAATCCCCTCTGGCTTTTTTGTACAAGACCTCAGCTAAACAGCAAGGAGGAAGGCCTCTTCTCAGAGGTGGTTATTCAACGCTAGGAGGAAGCATATGTGACGATGATCAAAACAGTCAGCCTGAAAATCCCTTCCCTCCCCAGCTGCTGGTTTCTCTTGTAATATGATGGCCTTGCTCTGGCAGTCACCAGTCCTCCTCAGTATCACTGAATATCCTACCTAGCACTGCGGCACCAGCTGCAGTTAAGGGGCTGAGATCATTTGATTGACAGCAAGCATCACTGGCTTTCAGTAGTGAAAAGATGCTGCAAAGTCATGCCATGCCCATTCCTAAGTGGGGAAAACAGGACTGGAACACAGTGGCACATAGGGAACAGAAAAGAGCAGCATCTCGAGCAGGGGAGGGGGATCGGAGTGGCACCCAGGGAGGATGCGGGCCTTGAATTTGTAGCACACCTGCCAAAAAGGCTGCCCCGATGTAGTGAACAGAGATGGTAGGTTTGTAGTATCGTTCAAATGGCATCTCAGAAATGGAACACTGCAGGGTTCAGTGGAAGAGGCCCCTGCCCTGACCCAGGAAGTTACTGTGGTTTTAAAACACTTCCAAGCAAACAGCGGGTGTTAAGTCAATATTATTGATGCCTGCCCGTCACTAGGAAGCACCTTACAAAGGAGAGAAGGGCTTGATACCAATTCTTAATTCCCCCACTCCTATTATCACCTTTGGGGGGGAAAAAAAAAAATTCTATTGAGAAGGTAGTTAGTTGCTCTAACACAGCAGGCACCCAGCCCTGCCTTCGTCTTGGGAGCCAGGGCTCAGTATTATCACTCCACCCCAGCAGCATTGGGTACAGGAGCTGGTTTGTAGCAGGGATTGGGACTTTGCAAACCACCTGTCAGTTAGAGAAATGAAATGAAGTGTAAAACTGGTCCTTCAAGTCAGGGGGTCAGGAAAAAAAAAAAAAGAGCCCTGGCTACCCTCCCGGCCTTTCATGAGAGGGTTTGGACACTCAACATGGAGGATCCGAGTCCGAGCTCTCTTTCAAGGGTGGTCCCCTGTATAAGTCCCCACAATTCCCAGCTAACACCCAGCCAGCTCCCAAGAAGCTCCTTTACTGGTACAGGCCCTTGCTGCTCCCCAGATAACAGGTTGCATTGAAATCAACTCAAACATACGCAGACTTTGCCAAATGGTTAAATACAGACACTTGCGCTGCTGCTAGCCATCTGAAGGGCACAGCTCCCTTTCCACTATGCACCCTCCCCTTCCCTCCTTGATCCCAGCAGTAATGCCCTCCATCCATCCGATTTAAAAGCACAATCACTCATGGAGCAAATTAAAACTGCCAAAGAATGAGAGAGACATTTTTGGAAGGCAAGGCATGAAGAAGGACCCCCAGGAGACACCACAGTAACACGAGTTTTGGGGACTGACTCAGGTTTTTTTTACAAACCTAATCCACATACATCTGAAGGCACTTGGAGGACAAAGGCTAGAAAAGTGGCTGTAGAGACATGTGAAAAGAAAAGCTGTTATTGCAACCATGTAGCCACTTCTGGCAGCTTTTCCCCAAGTCACTTCTTCAGGTGTTATCCAAGATGTTCCACCCACACAAAACTGCTGGGCTTGTCCATGTCATTTACATGAGCACTTTAAAAATGGAAACTTCTCCAGCTACATCTTGACAAATCAGTTCAGAAGGGAGAAGCTAGTAGGGCCCAGCAAGTAAATGCAGCACTCAAAGTTACATATGTACAAATCAAGCTCTATTTCCCAGGAGACCTTGCCCCAACCCAGATCATCTCTTCCCATGAATGAGAGGCTTTTAAAATTTTTTACATTCAACTGCTTTAAAAACAAAGCCAAAAAAGACACTCAAAGCCACCAGAGTCTCAGTGACCCCCCAAATTTCCAGAACCTCTCTCTGAGCCTGCCAAAGGTCCAAACCAAAACAGATGCTCAAAAGAAACAGGTGAGGTTGGAAGCAGCTTTAAATGATATGAAAATCACATTAAACAGGCTACATGCAATCATCTAGTCAGCGCCGTCTCATGATTAAGCATTTCCAATGTCCATTATTTACAAAAATACCATAGATTTTTCTTCTCTTTTTTTAAAACAAGTCATTTACAAGAACGCCAAGTCCAAGTAGGACTGAAACATGGGTCAGATGAATGGCACGATTCAAAGGCTTTTGCTCACCACTGTTGGTTACATAAGGTCCCAGGGACTGGACAAGGAACTACAGCACCCACATCTTTTAAAGCCTAGGAGATGTACAGAGACTGTAGAGTCAACCTTTAAGCTAAGGCTACCTTCAAAATTTGCATAGGTACAGATGTGGGATGCACACCAAACACAGAGCCCAGAACACACCTCTGCTTCTATCACACTCTAACAGCACTGGACTCCTTGGTTTTACTGCTGGTCCATTTGACCACCAAACATTTTTCTATTCAAAGGCACTTAAATCTCACAGCCAGCTTTGTTTGATGTTCTGATAAAAAAAAATGTATGGAGAAATGCAAGCTGCAAAGCTCCTCCCTTCAAGTGGTAATGCCTATAGGGTAGCAAAGGACAAGCCAATTGTTTTGTAACTGGTTGCAGAAAGAATGACAAGGCAGTTTAGCTCTCAAACACCTAGGCAGAGCTTCTCTGTGGGCTAATGGGCAGAACTTTGCAATTAAAAACCAGATCTTTTTCTTCCCTGCCAAGACCTGCGTTCTGAGGTCTCCCCAAAAAGTGAACAACAGACCCCAAAGTCATTGATGCTGCTAGAGGAAAGCAGAGGATCCTGATTGGCATATAAGTTACAAATCAATACCTGTAATTGTTTAATTCCTTGTGTCTCTCACCACTTTGGCAGTGACTGAAAGCAGGTATCCAATGGCTGTTTAGTAATGGTGATGAAAGTTGGGTCTCAGTAGAGTGCATCACATTGAAGCTGTCCATATAACAGGTGGCACCACTTCATTTGGTCGCTTTATCAGCTGCCTCCATAAAAAGACCAAATGAACTGTAGAGACTAAATGACCCTCTCTCCTTCCTGAGACAGTTCTCTCAACAAAACTGCTATAAATGCAAAGATACTGCTGGGGTGGGAGGTGGTGAAAGGAAAAGCTACATAACTCCCACAGTGCCAGAAGAGTAAAAACTGTACAGCTTATACTCAGAGCTGAGCAACTGTTGGACAACAGAGATTCTTTGGGAGCTAAGCTGAACTCTGCGAGTGGAAATATAACTTCAAGCTCCTGCAAAGGCACAACAGATTCCTTTGCTGCTCACTAGTTTCACAGTCCATTTCCTTAAGGTTATGTTACAGTCCAAAAACCTTCAACGTGACCCACAGGCTAAGGAGCAAGTTAGGTGTGAAACAAGGAAAAGTAATTGAAAAAATAAAGTGGCACAGCATATTTTGTGTTAAAAAGGACGAGGAACTCCATGTGCAATAAGACCCTGCAACCTCTGTGCTCACAGCACGCTGCTTCGGTCCATTTCCCTAACAGTAAACCTGAAGCAGAGGTGCCCCGGATGAGTCAGTCTCTGTGTCCTGGAAGGAGGAATCTCTGCTCGTTGGAGATCCTTGAAAAGAAAGGAGAATCGATAAGTCCTCACAGAATCACACCAATATGGCTAAAAGGTCTTTGAAAGCCAGACAGCGCTACCCTAAAGGGCCTCACGCACTGTGTGGGAGAAGAGAGCTTCATGAAGCCCTCAGCCAAGAAATAACCCTGGAGTTTTACAGTTTTGGAGGAGGAAGGGAGAACTTCACATTTACAGGGAGGACCAGTCTCTTAGCCCAAAACAGTTTAACAACAAGGATGAGGAAAAGAACCCAAGAGATCTGCTAATAATGTTCTTCATCTGCTTCACTTCCATTGTAAATTGCCTCAGTTTGTATAATGCAGCCAGAATCCTATCCTCAATCAGGATTCTGATTCCTTTCAAACTCTGCCAGAATATATGGGCCTGAAAATTCCCAGGTCCAAGGAGCAGTGCGCAGGAGGTCTAAGATCCGATTGCTGTTTCATTGCTTTTTGCACCAGTGAGGGTCTATATGGGAAAAACCCTGAACACAAACCCCAAACTCCATTTAAATGTTTCAGTGTCCATGAGTCTCAGTCATATACTTTCCAATGCCCAAGCCAGGTATTATCCCACTCTTGACACTTGGGGAGGCCTGATCATCACTACTATCACTGATTATTACCACAATCACCATAAACTTAGAAGCCCAAGACGGACCGGTTACCTGCAGCGCTGTGCCGCCTCATGTTCCTGGCTATTACATCTGCTGGTGTTTCCTCTGATATCTGCACAGCCAAATCTAGAAAGAAGATTAGGATGTGCTGAGAAGAGAAATACCTCAAGGTGTGCATAACCCTGTGTCCAAAGCTGCACGCTAGTATAACAAGCTCTCCCTCTAGAGTCACGATCATTTGTTTCTTAGGGATAACTAGGTATAACTAGGTATTGGTTTATTCTGTAGCTGTATAAGAGGACAGGTGCTTGCCTGAACATTGTAGGTCCCTCTGCTAAGTACTTCAATGCAAGGAATAGTAACATTTTAATGAAACTAGGAGACCACACACAGTAGACCAGCTTTTCCCATTTTCCCTTCAAACACCCTCTCATTAATACTCACCTCTTCAAGCATCTCTAATGCAATGTGCCTTGTAGCTGGTCCTACTGGTCAGATTCAAGCTACAGAGAAGTAGGAGAGCACATTTGATAGAAAGAGGCTTTCATACTCTGCAAGCAGTCCCCCTTCCCTGTTGAGTTTTGATCATTTCTGATATCACCAGGTAACTAGCAGGCTTCTCCCTTCCCCCAAGATGTAAGTTAAGAAGACAGACTGATGAGCAGTCTCATCAGGCACCCCAGATGATGTGCAACGTTACTGAAGTCTAAGCATTTGTTTATGCCACAGCAGTAGCATGTCCCAGGGAACATGGGGCTGGACACACCATGCCCACCAAGTCCACTGGTCTCAGTCTTCAGTGGCCTGAGGGCAGCAGCTCAGAAACCAGACCACAGCAGCCTCAATGGCCAACATTTGGCTTTGGAGTGTGTCTGTGGACTTGGGGAGGCAGTGGTGCATCCTCCCCAGGATGCACCACTGCCATGACACAGACCAGCCCTATGTTACAAACGGGGTTTGGGGAGACGAATTTTTTCAAGAGAACCAAAGGGGTTGAAGAATAAACATGGTAGGACTAGGATCCACATGACTTGAGAAACCTCACCCCGATGTCCAGGCATGCTCAGAGAGAACAAGTGTCTGATGCACAGCCACGAGGGACAAGACAAGGAGCAACAGCCTTAAATAGCAACAAGAGAAATGCAAGTTGGATACGAGGAAGAAGGTGGTTAAGCACTGGAACAATCACCTACAGAGACCAGGGAATGTCCATCCTTGGAAGTTCCGAAGAGCAAGTAAGACAAGCACTCATCTAGAATGGTTTAGACAGGGCTGATCCTGCCTTGAGCAGGGGGGTGGACTTGAAGTGACCTCCCAGAGTCCCTTCCAGCCCTACTCTTCTATGACTCTGACTTGCTACCAGATTGGGAAAGGTCCTCTAGGCTCCATGCACAGAGAGAAAGCAAGACAGGGAGGAAAGCAACAGAAGGAAGCAAACTTTGTCTAGCAGCATTGGGCAAGCGCTGATGAAGAGGGCCAGCTAAGAAGTCTTAGTGGAAGGGCTCTAGCCTATGCCAGATTGCTGGGTCATCTGTTGAGTTTGGCTCCTGGTCTCACTTACTAGGTTACAGATGGGGAGGGAATTCAAATTATCATAGGGTCAGAATGACTGGCCCCTCATAGTACTCACTGGCAGAGTAAAGAGCAGTGTGTTTTCTAGAAGTGTGCACTGTAGATCATTGAGGGCAGCTGGTGTGAACTGAAACTGTTCAGCATTTTGGAAATGAAGGATTCCTCCAACCCAAAAGCAATCCCTGAATCCACAGTTTAGTTATCAACTGCCGCCCTGCAAAATCTAGCTGCTCTCAAGTCTGGGGCTTCATTACCTCAAGATGAAGCCAGCCCTTGGAGAGGGGGCTGAGCAGCAAAGCCGCTCTAGGAAAGGAACTTGCACGTACCATCTTGGCTGATGACTACGGACTCTGGCATGGTTTCGTTGCCACTGTCCGGTGGGTTGCCTCTGCTTGTCCTCTCCTCGTGGCTTTGGGTCACAGGGATACAAACATGTGGCCGGACCCTGCTTTTCCGGGTGCTGATGCGTATGATGCCTCGGACCAGCCTGCACTCTGCATCCTGCTCATCCAGGTTGTAGTCCTGAGTGATGCTGTTGATGAGGTCTGAGATCTTGTTAGTCTTCTCCAGGAAGACGGTGTCCGATGTGCACTTGGCCAGCTCATCAATCTGATGGACGCTGAACAGCTCCGTCAGTTTCTTGAAGATCAAGACATCAATCTCCCTGCTGGACATGGAGCTGCTCATCTCGCTGAGGTCCAGGTCAGACTCGTGGAAGGAGTAATACTCCTCAGAACTCCGCTGGCTGCCAGGGAGTGGTGGCTTTTCTATGCTATTCCTGAAGGTCTTCTCTGGTAGGGGCTCCTTATAGCATGAATCTGCTTCTAGTTGGTGACTGGGGCTCCGATTTGGATAGACAGGGATACCCTTCAGTTTCACATCCGGGTAGCTGAAGCTGCTTCCCATAATAGGCTTTCTACTTGGGTTCCCATTCTTTTCAGTGGGGGACAGGTTGACAGGACTATTGTTAGACAGCCGTCCATTATACTCTCTGTTCTTCCCATCATCTACCAAAATCTCAGCATGTCCTGTGTAGGGGATACGAACGCTGCAGTCCTGACAGCAGCCCCCACAGGTCACTATACA